TAAACAAAATGAATTCAGACAATCTACTAAAAAATCAAAAGACAAAATCATATTGCAACAACTATTACTGACTCTACTAAATTTATATTACCATCTTCAACTTTATTATCTTTTCTATTTATATACCAACATATCTGCATTATCTGCAACCAACCCATTACCTATAAACTAACTAATAAATAGCATTATTTAGCAGTCAATACTATATTCTTTAATAACAAACCTTATTACAAATCTTGTATTAAATACTAACTTAACTTTCAACAAAATTCATCTAAAAGCTCTAACACATTTCTTCACTAAAAATATACAACAAGACTCTTCAAAAAAAGCATACTATTTGCTAACAAACTTTGACAAACATTTACTAAACATCAACAATCCAATCCACTTACTTCTTAACTTGATCCTCTAACATTATTAGACAATAACCAAATCAATAATGATGTAAATATAAATATTAATAATACTATATCTACAAACAACAAACAACAACAACAACAACAATAATAATAACAACAACAATAATAATAATAACAATAACAAAAACAATAACAATAATCTCAATAAAGTTAATTACTATCTTATAATACTAAAATTAAAGCAAACTTAACATTTAACTAGTTAACCAACTTTCTAATTATAACTAAAATAGAAAATAATACAAAACTGCAAACTTAACTTTCCTGTAAATTATTTAACTTTCTCAAACAACATCTTTTTGACTTTTATTTAAGAAAAGAAATCAAGTTAGCTACTAGAAACAAAAAAGCCCTTATTGTTAGCTTTTATCATATTATTCACCAAATGGCTAGAACTCAACCTATATTTCTTTCAGATATTATCTTCAAAACTAATCCAAATATTAATCATGAAACTACAATTCTTTTAATATTCTGTAAAAAAATCTTAAAAAACTCATTTACAAATTTACAACTATATTATTTATCAAACTTAACTATCATGAAAATTTTGCATCTTCTGCTACTGATCCTTCATATAAAACTCAAAATTGATTACAATTTTGTATTAATCTTACTAGACTGCATCTTTACTTATCTAATGATTATCAATCTATTAATTTGCTAATGATATTATAGTCAACCTTAAAAGATTTAGTATTAGCTTATCTATAACAATAACTGATAAAGAAGAACAATATCTAAATATTAAAATAAATAACTGATTCAATATTCACCTTTTCTTTAATATTCCTAAAACTTTTTTTTTGAAAAATACAACATTCTAATATTTAATAATTCTGTAAATCACTTTAATGATAGTTTATAAAATTCTTTCCTTTATATAACTAACAATTTACTAAACCTTTCAATAAAACTAAAGTTAAAAATATACTAAGGTTTCAATTCTAATAACAATTCATTAAATATTTCAAAGAATTTTTTTTAACTAAAATTTTATTTATTAAACTCTACAATCTTCAACAATAACATAATAAGGCTATCTGACATGCAACTTATTATATCTATATATTTACTGACTCTGACTGTATATATCTTAATAAACAAAACTTAAAGAAAATGAAAAAATAAAAGCAAAAGAAACTACACTTAGTAATAACCAACTATAACAATCTTTTTAAAGAAATTCTGATTGAATCCTATTCAGAATATTTAAAAACTAAAAGAGAAATTTAAAAATAACCTAATATTAATGCTTCAATTTTTTATGTTAATGCCAAACATGAAACCACTTTCAAAGAAAAAATTTCTATACAACTTCTTGATGATTTTGTAACCAAAGCTAAAAAGTTTATATATACCAATAATCAAACTAAAACAAATCCTAAATGATGAAGCTATTACTTTTATTAATATTTAAAAACCTATTAAAATATTGTTACACAAAATCATAATATTGATAAACTTGATTGACAACAAGTTATTGACTTTCTTATAACCAAAATTATTAATACAAACTACTTAGCTTATATTATAATCTACTTTAATACCAAAGATGTTTTTATAAATTTTCCAGAAATTGTTAAGTATTTTCAAAAAAAGACATATCCAAAGGCTGAAAAAATTCTCCAAAACAAATTCAAATTACACTTTTAAGAATCAACAAATCTAGAAGATTTATTTTTCTTTACTAATACTCTTTTTCAATAAATTACTTTATATAATACATTAATAAAATTATCACTTTTAAGATTATGATGTCCTTCACTTTTTGTAAACTATTCTTAGAAGAAATGATGTAAATAGATAGGTAGAAAAGTCTATTTACATGAAGAACTAAATTTATGCTATTTAAACTTAATGTATAGAATAAGTTATGATATTTTTTGCAGCTGTAAGAGCCAAGCATATGATAAGTGAATCTATAGAGAAATCCTTTATCTCTTTAAATCCTATTACATCATCTTATTTCAAGAAAATATCATAAGACTCATCATACAATACACTACTGGATCCAGATTTATACTATAATAAATAGTTAGCCTATCAAGGCCTACCTCTACTCCTATATCTACAAACTCTTCATTCTTTTCTTGAATATATATATCTTTACAATTACACATCACTTTATCTTTATAATATCATACTGATAATATTGATTAAACTAGACTATATTGAATGCTATATACATTTATCAAATGAATTAGAACCCTTATCTGACTATTTCATTCCATAATGATCTAACTTTATATACTATTTGTCAATATCTATCTTTTCTAAATATTCTCTAGTACTTAATAATATACAATATGCCAAACCTATTCTTGAAGATAATGCTTTAAGCTACACTTATATATAACTAATAAAAACTATCTTTTCTGATCATAATGATACTGTTATTACTAATGAATACTTTGGTTCTATACAACTTCATACATATTACAATAAATTTCTAGCTTATAACCACCTTTCACTATTTTTACACTCACAAACAATTATTTTCTTTTTACAATATATTTATAATTTGATTATTTATCAAATAATACTTGTGGATATGCTCTAACCATTTCTATTAAAAATAATTATAATGAAACCCATGTCTACCTCCTATCTGAATTCAAATCTCTATTTAATCATTTCATTCCACCACTTCAAGTTATTTAACATTATCTAAACATTTTACTAAAATTATATACAATAGAAGATGATCTTCTTAACTCAACAAATCAATATATTATAATATTAATACTGAACTTACCTTCTACATCTGCAATACCATTTCAATAACCTTCATCTCTTCTCATTTCTTTATCATCACTATCTTTATCAAGACTTCATACAAATCATTCATCTGACCTCTTCCTAAACTTAAACATTGCAACTTACAATATTCAAGATTTTAATAATCCAAAAAAGAAACTCTTAATAGAAGAATACTGTTTTCAAAATAATCTACATATAATCAGTTTAACTGAAACCAAAATTATAAAAAACAAAAACAAAAAATTCTACAACAATCATCAATTCTCTTATTATTAGTCAAATTGCTCTACATCTAAAGAAGGAACATGTATTATGATTAAAAATAACTTACAATCACATATTCATAACATTCTTAACCATCCTAGTGGAGTTATTGTAATAGTTGTTTCTTGTTATTATAAGGTCAAAAAATATTAATTAGAAAGGTTCTTTATGTTTATACAATTATTGGATTGAGAATGTATACACTTATTTGTGATATACCGCTTATACTACTTATGTTCGTTATCTCATATATATTAATTATAATGTCTATGTTCATTATATTGATTATAACGTTCGTACTGATTATTATAATTATACCCTTGATCCCACTAATTCACCTTATCCTACTGAAATCAACTATCCACCCGACATTAAGTATACAACGAATACAGTTTACGTATACTGCCGGCAAACCCATTTAAGGTAGGTGATCGACATAGCTGTTGGTCCATTATTGTGCCACACCGATCACCTAATCAAACGAGCTTCCGGCGTTACCATCTCACCACTCACAATGACAATAATAAAATATACGTTGACACCAGCGAACGGCGTCGGCGTTTCGGTCCCTTCTCAATCGGATACGTCGTGTAACCTACGAACGGCTTAGTCGATAAGAGGCGGTTAGATTTGGCGAGTGGTGTGTTTATGATCGTAGGTTTTATAATTCAGCAAGAGCAAGTAATTATTTAGGAACAGGTCTTAAGATAAGCGCTAACTGAACTGTGCTTGTAGGGCTCGAAGCCTTTATTATATACTTTCGTTTACATAGGGCATGTTATACATTGTATTCGTGTTATATCGCTTATACTAATTATAACGTTTATACCAATTATACTGACGATAATGTCTATATCACTGATACTGATTATACTCCCCATCACCGATCACAAGCTTCCGGCCCACCATTCTACTGCTCACAACGTATAATGCTAAATGTTATATCAAGCAAGCATACTATGAATGCCATAAAATCACATGAACCATGCAGCATGATACGGTCTGACATGCGTATGGTGCCCATCTCTACCCTACGTACTCCGTTCTTGGTAAATACGATCAGCCTCTTATAGGTTCAGACTGGTCCTATGACGGACTGTGGTCTATTAATCTGAGACTGGACCAGATAATATGCATAGTAATTGTCATGAAAACATATTGTGTCTTGCGAATCCTTATAGACAATATTCACAGAGTATCAAGAGTCTCAAAGTAACACTGTAAAAATACGAAAGACCAGACAAATACATGCAAAAAGATTTCAAGCCTACAAGGAAAAAACTTTAATTTATTTTTTCAACAGTATTTAACATTGTTAACGCAACATGTACTACTAAACAAATTATTTAGCTGCAAGTTAACTTCACCTGCATACTAATTCTTTAATAAATAATTTGATTTTTAAAATCGATATTAAATTATTACAAAAGAATTATAATAGTTTATGATTCAATAATAAAGTTCATATGGATTCTATAATTTAATTTTCTATATCTTAAAAAAATTTTTACTGCAATATACTTTTTTTTTTCATGACATTTCTTTAATATATTAATTTTTTTTCGTTATTAAAGTTTGTTTGGTAACCAATTCATAATATAATCCTTTTTGATTTATTAAATCAAAATGTTTACCGGATTCAACAATTTTACCTTTTTTACAAACCAGGATTAAATCAGCATTTTGAATTGTTGATAATCGATGAGCTATCGCAAGTGTTGTACGGCCTAAATTCAAAAAAAAAAAAATTCTTTCAGTAAATTCATTTTTATTGATTTTATTAATATAAATTTGGGATTGACATTTCTAACCTTTACTGGCTTTATTCAACGCATTCTGTACAACCTTTTCAGATTCAGAGTCTAGTGCTGAAGTTGCTTCATCAAGTAATAAAATTTTCGGAGAACGAATTAAAGCTCGTGCTATTGCAACTCTCTAAAAAAAAAAAAAAAAGATAATAAAAGTTTAGTTTATGCATTTTGTCATTATGGACAACGTCTCAAAAGATTAAAGAGATTAAAAAGTTAACCTGTTTTTGACCACCACTAAGTTGTGTTCCTTTTTCACCAACACGTGTATTATACCCATCCGGTAAAGAAGTAATAAAATTATGAATATTTGCTTCTTTCGCAGCAATTTCAATTTCTTCTCTAGTACAACCTTCTTTTCCATATGCCTTTAAAATAAAAAAAAAAAGAAAAATTAGACAATGAATGATTAAAGATTCTAAGTAATTTAAAGAATCAACAGCATACAATATTCTCTTCAATAGTCAAATCAAATAACACAGGTTCTTGTCCAACCAATGCCATATTCGATCTTAAATATTCTAAATTCCATTGCTTTACATTAACGCCTTCAACTTCAATTTCTCCAGAATTTACATCATAAAATCTTTGTAATAACGAAACAACTGTTGATTTCCCTGAACCCGATGATCCAACAAGTGCAATAGTTTTTCCAGAATATATTGACAAGTCTAAGCCTCGAAGTATTGATACATTAGGGCGAGCAGGATAATTGAAACAAACAGATTTGAATGAAGAATCTCCTAATATTGGTGTAGGACGTTCTTTTCCTTCGTTATCTGTAGGATCTATAAGAGATTTTCTATCTAAAATTTCAAAGATTGAGAGAGCTGCGACTTTTGCTTTTGCGGCATCTGGTGCGAATGTACTAAATCATAAAAATACATATAAATATTTTCTAAGGTAAATAATATAAATTTAAATTAAAAATTAAATTACCTCAATTGTCCAATACCGATAGCAGTAAACACAACGGCAAACATAACACGAAGCATTTGTTTTAAATCATATTCACCAGATTTGATTAATCGAGAACCATACCAAAATGATAGAGCCCAAATAAAGTATAAAATCCCTTGAGATGTACCAACACCAAATGATGATAATAAACTTCCTTTAATTGCGATTTTGTGTGGCACTCTTAATGCATTTTGATATAATTTTTTAAAGGTTTCTTCTCTAGTTAATGCTGCAATTGTTTGCATATTGGAAACACTTTGTTGAACTATTTTGCCAGTACCTTCATATGCTGCACGTGTCTGATGTAAATAAATATTGGATAATAAATTATATAGAAATTATTATTGATGAAAAATAATATTAATTACATTATTACCTTAGAACCAACACCAGCCACCGATCTCATTTCTAAAAAGCCAACAATTACAACAGCTGGTGAAGTAGCAATAATTACTAAAGCTAGCTTCCAACCGACAACAAAGGCAAGTCCCTAAATTAAATAAATAAAATGTTTTTTTTAGATTTTAGATGCTTTTTTTTTTTATAATAGAAAAAGTAATAATAATGCATACAAATCCCACTACTATATTAAAACCAGTCTGTATAATAACTCCCATTAGACCACCACTTAACCCTTCAACTTTTGTTGCGTCTACAGCCAATTTTGAAGTTAACACACCAGTCCCATTTTTTTCATCATCAAAGTATGAAGCTTCTTGTTTTAATAATGCTTCAAAAGTTAATTTTCGAAGACGTTTTGTTAGACGTTCACCAGATAACATGAACATTCCTAATTGAGCAAAACTTGCAAATAAAGAGACAACAGCCAAAATTGCAAAACATAAAGACCATAAATTTGACGATCGTCGAAGTTCATCAGGTCTAGATTGAAAAATTGTTATAGATAAATAAATAATTAATTAATTAATTATGAATAAATAATTGTCATTCTTATAGTTCTGATAAATTAACGTATATATAAATCTTACTGATCAGTCCGTGAAAAAACCTGCAGAATTGAAGCAAATATCAAGCTAAATAAAGGTACAACAGAACCATTAACTTTTTAAAAAATATTTGTATTAGTTCACTTTGAAACACAATTAAAATACGCAACAACCTATTAATTAAAAATATAAACATACTTCCAGCGCCAATACAACCAATAAACATTAATCCATACTCAGGTTTACACATTTTAAATATTCTTGATAAAGGCATTTTTTGTAATAATTTTTTCTCCATTTCTTCTTTTATAATTTCATCATCAGTTTTTATGGGTTTAATAATTGATTCTTTAGAATTTCTTAAATGTGATTTATTCTTCTTTTCATCTATTAAAACAGTAGTATCATCCTGAAATCTAGGACTTGAATCAAGTTCTTCCTCCTCCTCTTCTTCAACTTTTTTTTCAGATTTTTTAGTTTCTAATTCTTGGGCTTGGACAAGACCAAAGTATACACCTTGTTTAGCAATTAATTCATCATGACGTCCAGTTTCAACTATTTCACCTTTTTTCATAACAATTATTTTATCTGCATGTTTAATAGTTGATAGTCGATGTGCTATTATGATACTATTATAATTAACATTACATGATTAAGTAAATTATAAAAATTGACATAAAAATAAAATTAAATTAACATGGTTAAGAAAATTATAATGCTTAAAACAGAAAATATTCAACGCAAAAGAAAGTAAAATAATACCTTGTTCTATTAGTAGCAGCATTATCCAATGCTTCTTGAACTAATCGTTCAGATTCAGTATCAAGCGCAGAAGTAGCTTCATCTAATAATAATATTTGTGGGTTTTTGATCAAAGCTCTAGCAATAGCAATTCGTTGTTTTTGACCACCTAAAAATAAATAAGAATATATTTAATAATAAGAATATATTTAATAATAAGAATATATTTAATAATAAGAATATATTTAATAATAAGAATATATAATAAT